AAATCTATGTATCGTTATAAAACAAATTCGTGATTATTACGACATATCGATTAAAAAACTTCGCTACCAAATACTATACAAATCAAGTAAACATTTTAATGGTTGGGCTTGAGAGATTCTAATCATGCTTATTGGGCCTTCGTGACCCATTAACATGACTTTTGGGCCCAACATAAATAATACATGTTATTGGGCCTCCTGTGACCCAATTACATGCTTAAGGGACCCTCAATGGTTTTTACATGCTATTGGGCCTCAGTGGCCCATTAGCATTACTAGTAAGGTCCAAATAAATCATATGTGAAATGGGCCAACGCGCCTTTCGTATACTCGGCAGCCTTAAATAACATACGAAATTAGTAGGGCCTAGTAGTCATCTTCTCCTCGTCTGTTAGGCTTACCTTCTCCTCAAATAAACTAAAATCAGGTCATTAATCAAGGTTAATCAAATTCATGTGGATTAAGTGAGTAATAACGGGTGACACCAATAAGTGTCGGTCGTAGTCTGTAGTTGTAATCAAAGTCTCCTGGAGGGAGAGCGAGAGTTTGTGTATAGATCTATACGGGGGTGACTCCCCCACACCTAAGCTGTTCGCTACAGTTAGACTCGGTCAGTCTAGGGTGACAAAATCTTAAGATCAATCTCGGTGTTCATTAGAATGCCAAGACAGACGAACTAGTCATTATCATGCATGGTTATAACGACCCACATAGAAATCCGATATCATTTAAGTAATCAGGGGAATCATATTCATTCGCTGTGACGATACAATAATACAAAACAATCATAACTTTTTATCGGAAAACATCGGGTTTTCCGGGGAAACCAATCTTATTCACTTGTACTTTCAAAAACTATAATGCAAAACTACTCATTTATACACGTTTTGAAATCATTCACACATATACTTACAGGATCATCACAACATTTTCATGAAAAGTCTTATTACAGAAAATATCGAATTTTTCTGGGTTTTACGAACGACATAAACTATCTTACATCAAACACACTTATGAACTCACCAACATTATATGTTGACCGTTTTCAAAATAACTTGTATTCTCAGGTAATCGTTAGAACAAGGAAGCATCCAGTGTGTTGAAAGTTTCTTTTGTAGTTGCTAATCACCAAACACTTTATATTTTGGGATCATGTAATGTAAACCATGTACTTGATGTAAACAATGCCAGTTGTACTATGTAATGTTTGGTGATGAATGTGTTATGTTTCATGTATATTCATTGTGATGATATTTCAATTTAAGTCACGCGAGCCCTCGGACGTTTCCGCCGTCTGGTTCGGGGGTGTGACATCAGATGTACCTGAAACAGATCTACAAACGGTAAGCTAATGCTTAGTGAGTTCCCCAGAGCATACCCACACACAATCCGCATAACACATATCATATTAGTTATAAAAGCTATATATATCACATAAGCCATGCATACAAACATATAAGGAAGCCATGGAAACCATCCAAGGTCTTACACCAAGTGCCACGGGAAACCCCCACGTGGTCTTTACTAGCCGTCGCTGGAACCCCCACGTGGTCTTGGCTAATTGCCGTGGGAACCTCCACACGGTCTACACTAATCATGGAAATATCATACGAGCTAAACAAGTAAACATACTAGGAAGCCGTGGAAACCCTCCAAGGACTTATACCAAATGCCATAGGAACCTCCTCATGGTCTTAATATACTGCCACGAGAACCCCCTGGGGACTTCCATACAAATGTCCTAGTGACATATCACATAACCAACTATCAATCTATATAACATTAAATGGGACAGCCTTGGTGCCTTAAACCCATTGGTATGGTGAGAAGACTCACCTCTCGAATGCTGAACTGACAAGCTAAGATCAGATAATTCCCGCGCGCTGCTCCAACTTAACTGCCTATCATCATGTGATTAACTTGTCACAATCCCGAAATACCATAATTATCCTCAAAGTCAACCCTGGTCAAAGTCAAGGTCAACAGTCCATGTTGACCTCAACTCGTCGAGTGCATCCAGCAACTCGTCGAGTTAACTGAATAACTCGTCAACTCGCCGAGTTACCTATGTAACTCGTCGAGTTCCTCCCGAGTCCATTCCAGTGAATCCTGAGTCAACTCGTCGAGTCACCTAAGTGACTCGTCGAGTTCATCAAATGTCCAGAATACCAAAAGTTCATGCAGGCCAAAACTCTAATCCTCACTGCACTCATTCAGAATCTCGAAAACGGGTAAACCCTACCCGACTCGTTGAGTCGACTAAGGGACTCGATGAGTTCCTTCAGTCCTTTTCGTGTTCAGACGTTTTTAAGCTACTCCAAAGCTCCAAATTGTAGATCTAGCCTCCTAAGGCACAGTTTCTACGTAAAGTTGCAAACTTTACGTGCATGCAAGCTCTTAATTGCCAAAACCAAGCTAAGAGATGGGTTTTAGCCAAAGAGAAGGACCAAGCTTGATAAATTCAGCAAGTTTATAACTCCAAGGACTTAGAGGAGTCCAGATCTGAAGTTGCAACTCTAGATCTTACTCAACACCCCAAAATGCTTCACCAATATACTAGAAATGGCCCCAAAACCCAAGAAAAGGGGATCTAATGCTAGAATGATCAAGGTAACGAGTTGTTACCTTCAAATGCGAGTCCAAACGTTGTAGATGTTCGATCTACAGTCTGATTCCCGCTCCAATCTTCTCAATCTTCAAACTCTGTCAACTATGTGCACCAAAAACTCTCTTTTAGCCTCTCAATCTCAAGGAAAAAGCAAAGAACGGCTAGGGTTTCTTATCTGGGTAATGGAGTGGTAAAGGAGGCCACGAGAGGCGGATTAAGTCCATTATATAGGGTGAAAACCCTAAAAATTTGGGTTTTCCTTTACAACGCCTACTCGTCGAGTCAGGGCCTTCCGACTTGTCGAGTAGGATTTAAATCTCGCGTCCTCATAACGATCTCTACTTGACGAGTTGGAGCTCCCGAACTCGCCGAGCCCAAGAGTAAAACCCTAAAACTTAGATAAATTAAATGATACCTGAACGGATGTTACAAATACACATTACATAGGAACTATTATAGTAATTTACTTTAAATAACATTTTCAATAATAACATCCTACTTGTTTTTTGTTTCTTTTTTCCATTATGACATTGTAGTTTACACATTGCATACAAATACACTCCAAATTACATACAATACACACATACATACATTATAAACATATGTACATACTTTTTATACACATAAAACAACCATCAACACACTCCAAATTGCATACAAATACACACATACACACATTATACACATATATGCATACTTTTTATACATATAAAACAACCATCAACACACTCCAAATTGCATATAAATACATACATACATACATTATACACATATATACATACTTTTTTATACACATAAAACAACCATCAACACAATCTAAATTGCATACAAATACATACATACATACATTATACACATATATACGTACTTTTTATACACGCACATATATGAAATACATACAATTTTCACATACATATATGAAATACACACACATATAACATATTTCACACACATATATGAAATACACACGCGCACACACACACACACACACACACACATATATATATATATATATATATATATATATATATATATATATATATATATATATATATATATATATATAATACACATACAAATGCACACATATACACCAAATTACAAAAAAATGCACATGTAGTTCCCAAAATTTTGCCCTCTTTCAACTTGTGGTGGTAGTCTTCGGTGCTGCAACAGTGCGTGGTGGTGGTGGTGGTGTAACTTAAGACAACAAAAATCAACAAAAAAAACAATTAGGTCTGAAATTCTGGTCAGAAGAGAAAGAGAAGGAGAAAGGAGAAAGGAGGGAAGAGGGAACATATTGTCGCCGGAAAAATGAAAGGCGTCGTCGGTATATGCTTCATCGCCGGCAAATTGTCGTCGACAGTGGTGTATGTGCGGCCGGAGCTTCAATCGTGGGTGGCCGGAGCTTCAATTGTGGGTTTAGAAGTCAAATCGCCGGAGGATGAGTTCAATTGTGGGTTTGGGTATGTGTGTCTCGTACCTTTTATCAACAAAAAAAAATGATGAATATTAGCAAGAAGCTAACGATACAAAGGCATGAAAACAGTAAGAGGATTACAACAACAATTGGTATAGCTAAATGTATTACATTTGTAATTACGATTATTAAATTAAATGATGTTTCCTGAATTTCATCTGAAAAAAGTATGGCCAATGAATTTGAATGGACTTTAACATATCTTATATTCACACTTAAATTTTTATATATTTAGGCAATATCGCCTACTAAAAATTAAATTTATGGAGACTAAATACTGAAGAATATTGATAAATTAAAAAGATTTTTCGTGACAAAATTTTCAACGTGTCTTTCATAAGTATAAACAAATCTAAAGAATGTGAATATGCTAAAAATAATATGTAATTTTAGTTGTCTTAGGCTATGTTTTGTGTACATAAGCTATCTTGTTTAAAGCTTATTACAATTTAGTATAGGTAGAATCACAAAAATAATTTATCATATCTCATAAATTAAACAAATTTGTTTTTCGATAAATTACTTAATTAAAATAGCTTATTGATAAGCTAGTTTATAAACCAATAACAAATTTTCAACTGGAGCACGCATAGCCTTTAGTTGTAAGAAATTGTAACTAAGATTTAAAAGTCGTATTTGTTTGTTTTTGTTAGATTTTTCTCCTTATTTGTGCGGATGCCTGTAATTAAATATTGATAACACATGTCATGCATAAAGGGTTTTGTGGAAGATCTATAACCACCTTTTCCTTGCACCCAATCTCTCATTCTCATCTTGGACCAACTCAAAGCCACCCCAGTTTGATTTGACAGTCATCTGCCAACTGCCATGGCCCATGACGGTTAATTAGACAATAATTCACTCCACCAGTCCATACTTCATTATATACCACACACCCTTTCGCTCTGCATTAATCTTCGTCTTCTCTCATCGACAATAATGTCAACAAAATATGAAATTTCACCAGAAGCAGCCAGGTCTCATACCAGGAAATCCAAACCGGATTCCTCATCCGGTGAGTATCATTTGCGTACTTTTTCTTTCTTTTCTTCATCTTCAGATCTTGTTTCAGAATCTCATTGCTTTCAAACCCTAAAAAAAATGGTTAATTTAATTCAAAAGAATTAGAATCATAGTTCTGTACATCATTTCCATTACTGACTTTGAATGTATCGTTGTCTCTAAAGTTATCTTGAAGAAATTTCTACTAGTCATCTTTGTGGGGTTCTTTGCATGGGCTTATCAAACAGCTCTTCCACCACCTCCAAAGACTGTAGGTTCTCCAGATGGCCCTCCGATTACATCCCCAAGGATTAAACTCCGTGATGGAAGACATTTGTCGTATATAGAATCAGGTGTTTCAAAAGATACAGCCAAATATAAACTAATATTCGTCCATGGCTTCAACTTAAATAAGTATCATCACCCTTTTGCAGCCACAGCGTCCCCAGTATGGATTAAGTCCTCCATTAATTCGTTTCCCATCTTCCTTTTTGAAGTTATAGCTTCTGAGTATACGCAATAATGATTCTTTCAGGCTCTTGTTGAAGAACTAGGGGTATACTTTGTTGCAATAGACCGACCCGGTTATGGAGAAAGTGACCCGGACCCTAAACGAACTGTGAAGAGCTTGGCATTTGATATCGAGGAGCTCGCCGATCAGTTGAACCTGGGACCAAAATTCTATGTAGCTGGATACTCTATGGGTGGTCAAGTCATGTGGTCTTGTCTCAAGTACATTCCTCACAGGTCTGATTCAAATCTTGCAACTTTTAAGCATCATAAATAATCGCATTATGGACTTAGTAGTTATTGTTGTATAACTGTGCGCACGATAACAGGCTTGCAGGAGCAGTTCTTATTGCTCCAGGCATTAATTACTGGTGGCCTAACCTACCTTCAAATTTAACCAACGAAGCATTTTTCAGGACAACTTCCACAGGATCAATGGTCTCTGCGTGTTGCGCACCACCTACCATGGCTGAGCTACTGGTGGAATAGTCAAAAATGGTTTCCTTCTTTTTCTTTTATCGATGAAGTACATGCTGCTCTTTCTCCCTCTGATATAGCAGTTGCATCAAAGCTTTTTGCTGCCATGGATCCAGATCAGGTAATTCCTCTTGACCACATGTACACTCCTTAATTAATATATAACAATTAGTAGGATGAAAGTAGGGACTAAATGTACAGTTATTAAACATATACTTGTTATTATAGCAATCTTAGATACTGAAACAAAATATAGAATCTATGCATCAAGATTTTAAATTAGACATTATAAAAAAAAAAAAAAGACGTTTCCCATACAACTCTTTACTTGGGTTGAAGACGTAGCTTAAAAGAATGCAAAACTTTTTAGTCGTAATGGGACGAACAAAAAGATTCGTTACAATTATGAGATCAGAAACAAGACAACCACAGTCATTGTTTGATGTTTATCCTTTGTCCATGTTTTCTTTATTTTATGTCCCCACATTCTAAAGTTTATAATAAAATTACCATGAAAATAATTATTTGGGAATGTTGATGTAGCTGCCAAATGAGTAGCCTGGTTTAGAAACATCACAAGTGGATGTTAAGCCTTTTCACTTCACATGTCATGTGTTTATTATTTGACACATCCATTGTCAGTACATATAAAACAATATTAAAACTTTTGGAACTCTGTGTTTGTGATAGTTTAATTGATTTTCATACCAATGTTTTACATTTTATAAAACTTCTGTTATATTTAAACTATATACAAATTCAACCAAATAATTCAATAATCATTAAACTTCATTACCAATAAATGCCAACATAATATTTCATTTTGGTTGAGTTTAATTCATTTGCATATATATACATCAAGATTGCTCTAGTAAGGCAGGTAGATGCACCTCAAACTGCACACTGTGGTTGCTGATTTGGCGTCGCAGTATGCGACGAACACAACACCGACCCGTGTTTACCGCACCTGTCCATCACACCCCTCGTCAAGGTCTTACCACATTTGTGACCAATCAAAGTAAAGAAAATTAAATAAAATAAATATGTGGTCAGGTACCCACCGGTTTTGTAATGTATGGCACCCACTGGCCTAAGAGCAAAGATGGATGTAGTAAGAGCAAAAGGGGGCACGTGCCACCAATGCATCTGAATTATTATATTTGATTTACTAACAGTGCCCTTAATCATTTTAAATCCGTGCCGTCTACTCTCAAACTAATAATCAACTAATAAAAAAATAAAGAAATGGGGAGTGGGGACGATTGATGGACTAGCCTAGCGGAGCAATTACTCAAAGGGTCCATCATTGTTGTTTTTTTTAGTTTTTATATTGGTAATAAAGAAAAATTGGCTGATTAACTTTTAAGTTATGCATTAATTCATGAATCTGTCTTATTTGTTAAATTAGATAGTTGATTTTATTTATAATTTCACTTATTAAATTAGTATACTTATTATTATTGAGCGAATATTAGTTTAATTTTGACAGACAAATGAAAAATACTACAACAAAATGACTGTTCAACTAAAAGAAAAACATCTAATTTGTTTTAGTTTTTTATTTTATTGTTCATTTTACAACGCTATTGTTGTTAATTTGGATAATTTTTTTTATGACTCCTATTAAATAAATTATATTCATTTTGACACGACCTCAAAAATTATATTTTATTATCTTTTATCATAGATTCAGAATCCTTGATCTGTCCCTCATTAAATCCAAATAGATTCACTATTATTTAAACTATGGTTAATTAGCGCAAGAACATTCAAATTCGAAGTTTTCAAACATCTAAATACTTTTAACTAATAATCTCATAGAACTCTCTTAATTTAAATAGGGATTATTGTCGTAATACTCCATGTTTAAACCCTCTTCTTGAGAAAGACACCCATTTCTTGTAAAATAAAAGGATCCGATTGTTGAAAACCATTTAAAAGATAGTTCTTTGTTTGTAAAATCCATTAATCGCTTGCAAAGATAATTTATTTTTAAATAAATAGTTTAGTGCCTATTTAATTTTATATTTTTGATTTTGTCAAATAAAAAATACAGGAAAAAGGTATTTCTAATTAATTAATCGTATATAAAAAATAAAATATATTATAATAAGATAATATTCTCAAACTATATAGATTACATGTTATGCATACATGTCCTTTCTAATCTTCAATATGCTCATATCTTTACCAAGACACTCCCGTCTTCTCGATTTATTGAATTTCGTGTTAGATTGAATGTTCGTCCTATACTCCTGTCACTCTCCCTCAAACTCTAAGATGTATTAGTATATATTATTATTATTGTTGTTATGTTTGTATAGCTAACATATACTAATCTGTTACGTATAAGCTCATATACACTTTGTATCTTGTATTTATACCAAGCATTAATACACATCCTAATTATGGGATAATATCGACCCTAAAAGGATCTCTATACCAAACTATTAGAAAAACATTCAACGAAACATCTTAACTTTAACAAGTTCAGGTAAAAAAACCCTCAACCGATACATCTAGTTTTATTACAAATCTGTCAAAAATGACAAAGTGAAACCAATCCTAAACTTGAAAAATAAATCTAATAAATCACCAAATGAACGAAGAAGGATATTGTTTGCAAAACGTACATGCCTGACTAAAATTGTATTTTTATTCGAATTTATTAGTTATGTGTTGATTATTTATTGTTAACTTGAAATATACAACATCCCCGTTATCATAACCAACCACAAGTGTGTCGTTGCCATCATCTCGCCCTCTTTTCCGATGTTGTGGCCATTCCATGTTTCATGAACTATGTTCATGATTTATTTTCTATTTAAAGTTATGCTTTTATGCTTGGAAAAAAAATTGAATTTCAAAAACAAACTCGGAACACTATTTAAACAGGCTAAACATATAATAGTCAATCATAACTTTATAGATTATAAAAAAATTAACAACTTTAAATGTACAAGAAATTCTAAAAATATAGAAATTGTTGGTTTACAAAATTGAACCTTTTTCCTTGAATATTTTAATTCACAAAAGTTTTATGTTTAGTACTTGAGTTTCAAATTTTTATATTTTAACTGCATAAAAAATTTTACATATTAAAATTTAGAGAACAAGATTCTTAAATTACAAACCCAAAATTCCCTCTAACTACACATTATATGAAGTATTCATCTTGCATATACTTACACTACTCCTTTCTTATGTGTTAAAGCTACAAGCCTGGAATACACAACCACGACAACAAGGCGAATTCGAGTCACTCCATCGTGACATAAACATTGGATTTGGAAAATGGGACTTTGATCCAATGGATCTCAAAAACCCATTTCCAAACAACGATGGATCGATTCATATATGGCAGGGTGATGAGGATCTAATTGTGCCTGTGACACTGCAACGTTATATCGCCCATCAACTTACATGGGTGAAGTATCATGAGCTTACTGGCACCGGACACTTGTTACCTTTTGCAGATGGAGTGATTGATTCTATTCTCATAGAACTTCTTACAAAAAAGAATTAGTTTTATTGTAGCTCTTTGTACTCTTCGTTGTTAAATTTGGCATTTCAAAAGAATGCTTTGAAAGAGAAAGACAATGATTCAAGTTACAAGTAACACATATAATGTTACTAACTTATGTATGAAGTGACACATAAAGGTTACAAACTGAACAATGTTTAAGTAGACTTTTTAACTTTATGAATTATTTTCTATAGTCGTCTAACTGTCTGTTTAATACTTATCCACTTGATGGAATTAGTTTTTTTTGTCTCTCTCTCTCAAAAAAAAAAAACCTTACACAAAATTTAGTTAGGAATTCCCTTTTCATGCCCAAGTAGACTTGAATTTATTTTATTTTATTTTTTATTTTTTTTGCACTATGAGAAAGGTCACTTCTAGATAGAACAAAAGTTGAAGCAAAAAATCACAAACTCATCCAGAAAAGTCTTATGGTTCCAAAGGTTGTAGGTTATCACCTTCCCTCACTTTTCTATGTCACTTCATTGTCACGTCATTTTCCATTCACTCTCGTCTCACCCACTCATTAATAGGAAATTGTCACATATCACTTTTTTATTTAAAAATATAAAATTGTAATTTAATAATTATGTAAATATCATCATATCATATGATATCATCATCATCATATCATCATATCATCATTATCATTATCATTATCATTCATTTCATTATCATACATAGTTATAAAGCTAGCATTTTTTTCTTGAATCTCATGCATTTGAAACCCCCTTTTTTAACTTCCTCAAATCACATTCATTTGAAACCCCCTTTTTTAACTAATGCAACTCAAAAGTTTTCTTAATTATGATTTAACACTCAAAAGTTTTATAACTTATATTATGTTTAATTAGCATTTAGTGAAAAGTTTACTATAAAAAGGCCAATCTTTTGTGTCTTTTGTGTTATATAAAATCTTACATGTAAGAAGGATTTGAAAATATTGTGATTCAAAAGTTTTCATATAGTTGAAGCATTCACGATCCAAATATGATGATTTGAAGAAATGAGTTATGTCGCATCGATGGTAATTGTAATATGATTTTTTCTTTCAACCAAAACAAATGAAGCTTTTCTATTCTTTCTTTATATTCAGTTTCTCATTTAATCTTTATATGTGATTTGTGTGTATTACTCAATCTTGAATGTGACTCTTCAAACATCAATGTTTTGCTTGGAATATCTTTCTGATTCTTCTTTTTCAAGGAAAATATTTTGATTGCAGGTTAGTGAAGAATTGTCATCAAGTTTCTATGGTTGAATGATGTTAAATGAAGAAAGAAGATTCATAAAATGGATATAGGTTTTTTTGTTTGAGCAAAGTTGACGAATGTTAGTTTTTCTTTTGATTTAAATGTATGTTTATGTAACATCTTTATTTATATATTCAACCACCCAATGCTCTTATTTATTTGATTGTAGTTTTTCTATTTTGATTATGGTTATTTTCTATTATTTTTTTGTTGGGTTATCCTACACAACATATTTAAAAGACAATATTTAAAAGATAACATAATTTTGAACATTTGATATGTAATTATGATAGACTTATCATTGATATGTTCTTCATATGAAAGTAATTTATCCATATTACTACGACAAGAATTACATATGACATTTACAAAAATATATATATTATATGCGATTTGTTTAACATGTATATGCACATATGTATGTTATAAATTTATAATTAAATATCTTTATGTTTAATAATTGAATGTATTAAAATGATGCATCAAAACCAATTATTTAGACGAATATAATAATAATAATAATAATAATAATAATAATAATAATAATAATAATAATAATAAATATACATTTCCGAGTACCGCATTCATTTGAAACTCACACTACAACTCAAGAGTTTTCTAATTTATGTATATTTATTAGTTACAACTCAAGAGTTTTTAACTTATGATTATTAATTAGTAATCACTAATAACTTTTTATTTTCCTTTCTTTTATAAGGTTGTAAAGTTTTGCTCATTAAAAACATTAATGTATTTGAAGAGATTTGTGATTTAAATATGAAGAGGTAATATAAATGTTATAATAGATGTTTTAGTGTTTTTATGTTATTAAAAGTTATAGTGTTTATTTTTCATATTTTTTATAATTCGTTGTATATATATCTTTTTTAATACAAATGTTATAATAGATGTTTTTCTATTTTTATGTTACTAAAAGTTGCAGTTCATATTTTTGTTCATACGTTTTGTTACCCGTTATATTATCATTCATTTGACATATAATTTACACAATTTTAAACGGTTTATAAAATTATCAAATAATTGTATATATCACAATGACTTAAAAATTAAACTATAATGTTTAATAAACTAATATGTTAACCATATGTTTGCTTTACTACTAACATTTTGTTTCAAAGTAGAAATATTAAATAATAACTTGGTAAAAGTTATTATTTTAACTATATAATTCTATTCTCGTGCAACGCGCGGGGATTCGCCTAGTATCATACATACTTATAAAGCTAGTATTTTTTCTTGAATCTCATGCATTTGAAACCCCCTTTTTTAACTTCCTCAAACCACGTTCATTTGAAACCCCCTTTTTTAACTAATGCAACTCCAAAGTTTTCTTAATTATGATTTAACACTCAAAAGTTTTATAACTTATATTATGTTTAATTAGAATTTAGTGAAAAGTTTACTATAAAAAGGTCAATCTTTTGTGTATTTTGTGTTATATAAAATCTTACATGTAAAAAGGATTTGAAGATATTGTGATTCAAAAGTTTTCATATAGTTGAAGCATTCACGATCCAAATATGATGATTTGAAGAAATGGGTTATGTCGCATCGATGATAATTGTAATATGGTTTTTTCTTTCAACCAAAACAAATGAAACTTTTCTATTCTTTCTTTATATTCAATTTCTCATTTAATCTTTATATGTAATTTGTGTGTATTACTCAATCTTGAATGTGACTCTCCAAACATCAATGTTTTGCTTGGAATATCTTTCTGATTCTTCTTTTTCAAGAAAAATATTTTGATTGTAGGTTAGTGAAGAATTGTCATCAAGTTTCTATGGTTGAATGGTGTTAAACGAAGAAAGAAGATTCATAAAATGGATATATGTTTTTTTGTTTGAGCAAAGTTGACGAATGATAGTTTTTTCTTTTGATTTAAATGTATGTTTATGTAACATCTTTAACCACCTAATGCTCTTATTTTTTTATTGTAGTTTTCTATTTTGATTATGTTTATTTTCTATTATTTTTTTGTTGGGTTATCCTACACAACATATTTAAAAGACAATATTAAAAAGATAACATAATTTTGAACATTTGATATGTAATTATGATAGATTTATCATGATATGTTCTTCATTTGAAAGTAATTTATCAATATTACTACGACAAGAATTACATATGACATTTACGAAAATATATATATTATATGTGATTTGTTTAACATGTATATGCACCTATGTATGTTATAAATTTATAATTAAATATCTTTATGTTTAATAATTGAAGAGATTAAAATGATGCATCAAAACCAATTATTTAGACGAATATAATAATAATAACAATAATAATAATAATAATAATAATAATAATAATACATTTCCAAGTACCGTATTCATTTGAAACTCACAGTACAACTCAAGAGTTTTCTAATTTATGTATATTTATTAGTTACAACTCAAGAGTTTTTAACTTATGATTATTAATTAGTAATCACTAATAACTGTTTTTCTTTTATAAGGTTGTAAAGTTTTGCTCATTAAAACATTAATGTATTTGAAGAGATTTGTGATTTAAATATGAATAGTTAATATCAATGTTATAATAGATGTTTTAGTGTTTTTATTTTATTAAAAGTTATAGCGTTTCTTTTTCATATTTTTTATTATTCGTTGTATATATATCTTTTTTAATACGAATGTTATTATAGATGTTTTTCTATTTTTATGTTACTAAAAGTTGTAGTTCATATTTTTGTTCATATGTTTTGTTACCTGTTATATTATCATTCATTTGATATATAATTTACACAATTTTAAACGGTTTATAAAATTATCAAATAATTGTATATATCACAATGACTTAAAAATTAAACTCTAATGTTTACTAATATGTTAACTATATGTTTGCTTTACTACTAACATTTTGTTTCAAAGTAGAAATATTAAATAATAATTTGGTAAAAGTTATTATTTTAACTATATAATTTTATTCTCGCGCAACGCGCGGGGATTCGCCTAGTATACTTATAAAGAAAGCATTTTTCCTTTCACCACATTCATTTGAAATTCCCTATGACTTTTCAATTTCTTTCTAATAATAATTATAAGTTGGTTAATAAGATTAAATAAATATCAAACCTAAAGTGTAATAATATATAAACTAAATTTCAATATTAAAATAATATATTTACTTCTACTTATGAAGTTATGTCTTTTAACTTTTAACATATTATACTTAATTTATTAGTTTTAATATATTGTTGGATGTAAATCATTATCATTTTAAAGATAAAATTTTGGAACAATTTGTATCAAAAACTTAAATTATTAATTTAAATATAACATTACAGGGTTAACTTAAATATAAATTTTAATTTAACTTAAACAACCCAAAAAATATTTTGTAAATAGTTAAAAGTGATAAATTATATTGGTTTTATAATAATGATTATAAGTTAGTTAATAAGGTTAAATAAATATCAAACCTAAAGTGTAATCATAAATAAAAAAAAATTCAATTTTAAAGTAATATCTTTACTTCTACTTATAAAGTTATGTCTTTAACTTTTAACATATTATACTTAATTTATTAGATTTAAAATGTTGTTGTATGTAAACCATTATCTGTTTAAAGCTATAACTTTTGAAAAGTTTGGACAAAATACTTAAATTGATAATTTAAATATAACATTACAGTGTCATCTTAAATATAAATTTCAGTTCCACTTAAAAAACCAAAGAATATTTTGTAAATAGTTAAAAGTGATAAATTATAGTGATAAATGCAAAAACTAAATTGTAATTTCAATTTAACCAAAATAC